GTGCATAATTAAAAACAAACAAACAAACAAAATGTTAGTTTATCAAATCAGGCTGATAAGCAAAATTTAGGCTTAAGAGTATGAGAAAAAAAGAAATTTAATATGAACCCGTAAAAATGTATAAGTCAGTAATAAAAGAAAACCATCACTAAATTGTTAGTTGAAGACTATTGTATTAGATATTTTGTTATATCTGAACATACAAAACAACTAAAAAGTGATTTTAAAATGCATGAAATTGATTAGTTACTGTTTGGTAAGACAAAAAATATTTCAGATATTTTCCCCTCTAAACTACCTAAATAACGTTGTTTATCGGAAGAAGAACGCTTTTTCAACGAACGTACAACACTGATGCTGATTATTTTTACTTATTGTGTTTTTTGGATATATTTTTTGAGAGCTCACCACAAGATGTCACTTATTTCATCCTATATGTATCGTCTGCATTGTAGCTGTAGTGGCGATCGTTGTATTTGGGTGTGATGTACAGAGAATCAAGAATAGTGGAGTAGCTAAAATATCACTATTTTTTAACCTTAGGTGATTCTATCTAAAGAAAACGAATTTTATGACATAGTGACAAAAACATTTGGGAAAAACTACTCCAAACAAAGTTGTTGCCTAGAAGGTTCTTATATTTTGTGTCATTGGACGAGTTGTAAAAATCACCGGACGGTAACGTAATTCGTCAGCGGAAGACTAAGTTAAGCCGGTTCATTCGGTTTTGTCGTTCCATTAGGTAATAATTACTTTGCTTATATTTTATTCTAGTTTTGCGTGTCCTATAGTAACCGATAATACTAAATATTAATATGAGGGACAGTAATCTGTTTACAGATCTTTAAAATGAAGCTTCAGGATCATATTTTCAATAACTTCTGATTAAAATTGAAGCGAGGTATCTTTATGAATTAATAAATTAATGCCACTCGTTGCGTTTGCTTTTTTTCTTTATAATGTCAAAATTCAGCTGATAATGCTGGCGGTTGTCAGAGAGTTAATGGTGTGTTAATTTTGATTTTATCTATCGTGTTAGCTTGCAAATATCGAGAGATTAAATTAACGAATAAAAACTAACGACAATTATATTGTTACGTCACCGTTGTTAATTGATTTTCCGTAACTTCGTACCGACGAAACTTAAGCGACACAAGACTTTACTTAATAAAACTGGTTTATTCTTTCCGAATATAACTTTACCGATACACTCAACTTCAACAATCGCGTTAAAACAAACGCTATAGCAACGAACGTCTCTCGTGCTCTCTGACTGCAGTTCAATTACTCACTATCTCTGCCTGCACACACATTACCTTCCCCGCTTTTATACCAGCGTAACCTATTTCTAGTAAGACCTTGAACATTCGACAAAGTACATGATAGTTCTAGAAACGTTGCGTCACAGTGTCATGTGACTTGCTGACGCAACAATATGTAACATAATAAGTAATTATAAGGGAGAAATTCTAATACTTTAAATTAACACACTACACGTATTTATAGATCCAAGGAAGAAGAGCGATGTCTTTTCTGTACTCCAGCCTACCTAAGCTACAGCGTTATGTGTTTTATCATTGGTAAAGTTGTTCCCATCAGAATGTTAGCCAACACGAGAAGTTGAGAGATTATACGAGGTAGTATAATTAGTTTAGAGCCGTCCTACAGCCGACGTCATGGGAAATGGTATGAACAAGGTAAGTACAATAAATATCTTCAGTGATTGGAGGGATTTAGATCGAGACATTAAGAGTATATTCATAGATGCAACTTTCCTTTATAAGATACCAACTATATATCTGTTATACACTTTAGCTATGGTTATATCTACTTGGTTTATCCTATATCCACATGGTGTACACTAAGACTGTATAATGTGAACGATAACTTTGATACTTTTCAATAATATCGTAATCAAATATTACAGATTCACAAATTATTTCCAGTCCAAAATCAAATCAGTTAAAAAACAAACAGGAATATTAATGCATACGAGTGGCTTTATGATTATCATTAACTTCAAATCAAAGCAAGTTACGTAGACCAGAACTAAAAATTAACCAATTAATTAATATATATATATAAGTTAGGAGTATGTAATGTCATAAAACAAAACTTACAATGATTAGAACCATTAATTCATCAGTTTAGTACCATTGTTATTAGGGATATTTTCCGCCGTAATCCCAATAATATTTCACGAAATTTTGTTTGTTTGTAGTTAAGCGCAAACCTACACAATAGGCTGCACAGATGCTGAGCTCACCACGAGTATCAAAACCCAATTTTTAGCGTTGTAAGTCCGCAGACATGCCGCTGAGCCACTAGGGGAGGGGGCTCACGAGGTTTATCCAGTTAAAAGATTAAGTTTGAACATAAATTCGTATACTAAGCTAAAAATGCTAAATAATTCTCATAATAAAAATATATATATATAATAATAAAGAAAAACCTACAGAACAAATGTATATCAAACATTTTAACCAAAACTGTTAACGAAACTAATTAAAGAAAGAATGTGTTCTTCTAATGCATTTATTGACTCTATGTCTCATACGTATTAAAGCTTGTACCTGATGATGACAAAACCTTGTCGAAACGTTGTACATTTGCTGTTATGTTAAACTTATATTAAAGTTTTTCTTCATTACCCATTCAAGCCGTCTCCTATCATTATTAGTCTCAAAGTGGGTTCCTCGTAATCGAAAATATTAAAGCTACAGTATCTCTTGTCTGACCTTTCAACCTATACAAATTTATAACAGAGGAATGGTGTAGAGATTTATCTTTGGGCCTCCCATTGGCACAGCGATATGTCTGAGGACTTACACTTCTAGAAACCGGGTTTCGAGACTCGCGATGGGCAGAGCACAGACAGCTTATTGTGTAGCTTTGTGCTTAACTACAAACAAACTTAATCTTAGGAATAAAAATTAAATGTAGTAGCTGTTTAACCGAAGAATATCATGGTTCTGTTAGCGAACAACTGGATTTAACTAAAAGGTTATTGAATAAATGTTTTGCAATGTTTCGAGTATTATGCTGTTGTATTTTAATGCCTTAATTTAGATGTTATGTAGAGGGCGCATGACGTTAACATTGAGAAGTTTATCAAAGTAACCCTAGAATACGCACACAATTCTAAATTTGAAGTTAAGCTAGCAGTGAATCGTATAGTTTTGTTTTCGGTGATTGGGTGCCAGTAATGTATTTAGTTTCAGTGAAGTATTTGGATCAGTGTTAGTTATCGTGTATATTCAGTTACTCGACCGATTAGCTGTGAAGTTGTATCAGTGATTTTATTTTTAGGTGAATTGTACTACAATTAGCCTACAAGTTACAACAATGTTCAAAAGAAGTGTAGTAACGTTAAAGAAGAAATAAAGTGATTTTTATCATTGTAAGGACTGGACATCGAATTATTTTCACCAAATACTTTAAAATACCCCTCCATACGAAAGAACAACATTACAACACTTGTGTCAGAAGTGGGATTATTTTGTTGAAAATAAAATGGAGCATAAAGTAAACTTAAATTTTCTAGATGACCTCAAGAGACGAGATCGGAGATTTATTGGAGTTAATGAGACAGTTAAAAGAAAGTCGAGAAGAATGAGACAGAAAGTTAAATGAAGAACAAGACATAAAATTAAAGAAAATGAAAAAGAATGAATAAGAAAATTAAAAGAAGATAATGTTGTATGAGACAGGAACGTAAGAGAGGAGTTATAGGGAAGAGATCTACAACTTAAAAGCAAAAACAAATCTGTTTGAAAACATGATCAATGAAGCTATATGTGACATACTAAGGAATTATAACAACAAGTTTGAAGAAATGCAGAGTGACATCAAAGAAGTGCAAGAAGGCTGTAATGACAAAATTGAAGAAGTACAAAAAGACATCCGCGATATGAAGACAGGCTGTTATGATAAAATTGAAGCAAGAAATTGATGAGGTAGAAAAGAATATCAATGACAGAATATAACATCTGGAAAACTAATTAGTGAATGAAAATATTAAACCAGCCACATGTCTTTCAACTCAAATGTTTCAAACTAAAACACCATTTACTACAACATACACAGTAGGAGAACTTACTTGTGCTACACCTATTTCCATCTAGACTACTTCATGGACTACTCCTCACCTGACACTACCAGATCAAGTTCCAGAATTTATATGGATAATTTAGCATTAGTCAATCAATAACCCAATGGATAATGATAAGAAAGTATTTTAAGAGTCATACCAGGCTTATTTTGAAATCATTTCCAGAGTGAATGGATGAAATGGTGAACAATCAGCTCTTTATATTGCTACCCATTTAAAAGTACCAGCTTTGACAACATTAAGTAACCTTCCAGCTGAGAGCCATAACTAACTATCAAACATTATTAACTGCCTTATCCAACAGATTTGGAGAGACGCACTAGAAGAAAGTATCCAAAGCAAAGTTCCAGAACAGGATACGGAGGAAAAAAATGACCTTAGCCAAATTTGTAGAATATTTTAAAAGGATTGTCCAATTACCTTACCCGAAAGCTCCTCGTAAAATGATGGATTAGTTGACATCACCTATTGTATTTGTGAAGAAGAAGGGTGGATCTACAAGGTTCTCTGTAGATGGACTGCTGTGAGGTGAATAAAGTCACAAAGAAGGATGTCTACCCACTGTCAAAGATCGACTCTACTCTATTTTTTGCTCTTTCTGGATCAAAATGGTATGCAATATTATATCTTAGAAGTTGATATTAGCAAGTGCAACTTTATAAAGAAAGTAGATAGATAACAGCCTCTAATACAAGAAATGGGTTATAGTAATTTGCCATGTTAGCATTTGTGCTATATAATGCTTCTGCTACATGTAAATGATTAATGGAGTGTGCTCTGTCAGATCTACCCTGGACTGTCGTATTCATCTACGTGGATGACGTAATCACACATGGGAAGATCTTTGATAACGCATATGAAAAGCTAAGAAATGTTCTGTGCCACATAGCTAGTAGAGAAGGAGTATCTACAAACTCATCAAAGATTGACTGTCCAGAATTATCCAACACCAAAGAACCTGCATAAGGTAAGAAACGTTTTTGGACTGTGTTTTTATTATCATTGACTTGTAAGATCATTTACTGAGATAGAAAGTTCTCAACACAAGTTACTTGAAAAACCAAATAAGTTTAGTTGAACTCGTAATTGTGAACAAATATTCAACAAACTGAATAAAGAATTAGCATAATTAACTCTTGAAGATTCACTCATATTAGATATGGATGTCATGACTTTGCAGAGGGAACAGTTTTATCACAAGTACAACACAGAAAAGAACAGATCATGCAGCATTAAAGTGACTGTTGAATTTTCATAACCCAGAAAGCCAAGAAGAATGTAAATACTGTGAGAAGAAGGAAGCACAGGATAGAAAAAAACAGCCTACCTAAATTACAGCAAAGTGTAGTCCAAGATGTGGCATCCACCATAGATGATGAAGAACTGATGTCCAATACCCAACTGGAAGCTACTCAAGCAAATATTTCCAGTTTGAAACCAATTATTGGCTCAAGAATATTGCAGAAATACCTATGTTGCAAACAGGATCTCCATACAGCTTGAAAACAAAGATATATTGGGCACAGTGTGATTCATTATGCCTACAAGATGGCTATTTATGTCGAAGATAAAAATATACCAGTGGACAGAAACAATAACTACAGTTGGTACTTCCCCAGTCTCTACATTCCAAAACACGTCATCACCTCCACAACCTTCCAATGATTGGACACGTAGGTATTAAGAAGACACTGGAGCCAGCAAGATAATTCTTCTATTGAGTTGGGTGCTGGGGGGTCTGTGAAGAACTGGTGTAAAACATATGCACTGTGTTGTAAATGAAAACGTTCATGAAAAACTATCTTGGGCAGCTATAGCATTATTGTATTGGAGCACCACTTGAGAGAGTTGTTGATTATGTGCTTGGCCCTCAGAGTAACAGTGGAAAGAACTACACTATGGCTGTCCTGGACTATTTCACTAAGTGTCAAGAAGCACATGCTATTCTTAGCCAGGAAGCAGAAACTCGTGTGAATAAACTCGTTTATGAATTTGTACTAATATTTGATTGCTATGGAGTTTCAATCAGATCAGGGACGGAAACTTGAATCAGACATTCTTGTGGGAATGTGTTAGGTCTTTGGAATTAAAAAAGACTGGGAAAAAAGCCCTTCAACCATTTTCTAATAGCATGATGGAGAGATACAAGTGCAAATTTTTAGATGAATTAGTCACGTATATAGATTAAAATTAGATAATGTGGGATCAAGATCTTCTACTTTTACTAATGAGTTCTTGTAGAGCAGTACATGAAGCTATCAGCAACACACCACTACCACTGATGTTTGAGAGAGAACTTAAAGTGCTGTTGGACCTTCTGTACTTTCATCCAGAGAACAATAATTTGAAAGAGTCTTACACAAAATATGTAGAAGATTAAGGAAAATCATCGATGATATGCAGGATACCCGAGAAAGACTTAAATCAGTTTGTCATAAAAAGGAAAGTCACTATGATATTAATTTCAATAAGACTGGATTCCATCGAAGTGACATGGTATGGCTGTACTATCCCTAACATATGATAGAAGGAATCCTAAAGTTAAGCAAGTGCTGGGAAGGGCGATATGCTATACTGAAAATAATT